ATTAAATAATTATGGCTCGTGTATATTATCATTAGCTTTTGATTTTACCTTATTTTAGAATCTTCATCGAATGTTCATAGATGAATTATTCTCATTCTTAATATTCTTCAAATATTCCCTCGTAACTTCCTTAACAGTGTTTCTAATTTTATCATCTTAAGTTACTACTTAAATAGTTAACTTGTCTACTTCTTTTTCTATCTATTTGAGACTTCTTTCTAATTTTCTTGTTATTGCCTGTATCGATTAAGGCTCTATTAAAATTATATAAAGATTATAAAGTAAACTTACAATTTTTGTATGCCTTAAGTCCAAATATAGCTTCATCTTATTCATCAGTAGTAGGGTGAATTTGTTATTAAGGATGTAAAGATTGTTGCTTTTAAACAGCTTGACCGAAAGTCGTGGTGAATTAGCTACTCTCATGTTTGTAATTTGGAGAAAATAGAGAAGTAGGTGTGGGTCCTTTCTTTGAAACGTCAACTTGTTATCCATTCTTCTTGATCTTTGAGTTATTTAGTTCATTTTATTGCTGGAATATTTTATCATTTTCGCTCATTCTCCTATCAGAGTTCGCTTGATTCAAGAATAAATCTTTCTCCATATTTTCAGTGTAATCACTTTAGTAGTCATGAGGAATATCAATTCCTAGAACAAAAGCTCTATCTCTGTGAGTAATTAATGTCTCGAATTTGGGATTTGTGTAAACATAGGGATAGCTATTGTCAGTGGCTCCTTTTAATCTATAGAGTCCAAGAGTAATCAATTTCTTATCCAATAAGGTCAAAAATAGATATTCAAAAGTTTTACCCTAAAATAAAAGTAAGTATGGTTTATGCTTTATAAATTTGAAGCTTACAACACAATTTTCAGGAACTGGTATCTGCCAAAGATTGCTCTAAGTCAAATCAGGATGAGCTTTTAAAGCTTGATTAATCTAGGATCCAACATTATTGTTGATATCATCATCATCATCGTCATTGCCACCCTTCAGTAACTACTAAAGGATTGTTACTATATGTGGATTGAAGTAAGCTTAGCAAGTCAAAGTATCAATAATAGTTGAAATGTAAACTTCGCCAGAAGCGTATAGTGTTGAACATTTATAGTCTGGATTTTATGTAACATTCGGTAATAAGAATTCAATGTTTGAACTATAAACCAATTCAGTCAAAATCTAAACATCCTTGTTGCATTTCTTTATAGCTTTATAGATATAGATAGATTCAGCATCAAGCATTTCATCGTTTACATCAGACTTGAAAGTTGAGTCATGGCCTAAGATAACTACTTTATCTGCATAGTTAATGTTAGCTTTAATGAATGTTTCCTACTTTAGTGGAGATCCAATTACTCTATAGATATCTTTGTACTTGGTAATCTAGTTGAGAAGCAGCTGTTAACCGTTATCCTAATCTTATTCATTATGTTCGCCAGTAATAATGACTATCTTTTGCAATTGATATTCTTTAAGGTATCTAGACCTAAGAGGCATGATGAAATCTTCTATTGAGGAATGAATGCCACAAACAATAATGTGATTTCTTATATTAGGATCATCTTCTAGATTTATCTTTGTTAGTTTATCATGCTCCTATTTTGAATCTTCAAGGTAGAACAGTTCTTTTTTCTTCATGTCATCAGACATCATCTCAAAGCTATCATCTTTGTTGTTTTAGCTACCATTATAGTAATAAGCCTATTGCTCTTGGAAGTTATCAAGATTACTATAGTAAAGCATTCTTTCATTATATTAAGATTCTTCATCATCTATATTTTGAGTCATATCTGTCTATTCTAGTCCATCATAGTCTTGAGCTATTTCATCTTTGCTCATCAATTCTTCCTTATTCTTTTACACTTTTATGTTGAAATATCTATTTCTTTCCTCTTTGTTCATAGCTATGGTTTCAATACTTTCTGCAGTCCTTTTATCTGGACATATCATGTAAACATAAATTTCGTTCTCTTTTATGTTGTTTACAATAAAATCACTTGGATTTAGCCTAATAATGGTTTTTCCATTGCAAGTAACCTCAATTGCAAATACAATGGCTTTGGTCTTCTTGTATACTATTCTAGCGATATCACTAAAATATTTCTTTTCCATTTTTTCACTTAGACTAATTCGATAAATTTCATGACCCATTCCTTCAGTATATTCCTTAAGCCATTCTTCATCCCATTCACTTTAATCAGATGAACTAGCTATCAAATTTGATATTAAGCTGATGAGACCTGGAGCGAAGCAACTCTTAGCCATAAGATTCATCTTTATTTCCTCAACAATAATAATTTAGTCCATACTAGAGGGCATACTTAGTGACGATTTATAGTGCTGTTTGCTCTCTGGCTTGATTAGCTGCATGCATAACCTCATGTGAGGATTACCAGTTGTTGCATAAACGTACTTTTTCATAGCCAATCCAATCAGAATATTCTTATGATCAATACCCTGAGGATCATTTGTATTCTTGTTAGTTAAAAGAATACATGTCTTGGCCTTTTCTGTATCAGCTCGTTTTAGATCTTTACTCATTATTGGATTTCCATTCAAATAATCAATAGATATTTCAAAGTTAGGGTCATGAAGAAACATCTCCATTTCAAGAGCTGGGTCAAATTATTGAATTATTACAGCATGTCTATCTTAAGATCCATGATCTTAATGAAAAAGTTCTTCACAAAAATTTCTTATAGCCTAAACAACCACGTATCCAGTTATCACAATATGAGGAATCTCAGGGTTAGATTTATATATCTTCCTTGCATAAAAGGATTTTAGTCCCATTAACCTTAAAAGCTCATTAGTTTATTAGGGAATAATAATAACGATAGTGAATATAATAAGTGACATAGTGAATATTTTGCCCCAGTCTGTTTTAGGGAATATATCACCAAATCCTACAGTAGAAATCGTGATAACAACAAAATAAAAGGACTAATGGAAGTAAATATGCTTTGAATCTAAATCAGCCTTATTATATTCGAAATTTTCTATTACCATAAATAATCCCGCTGATATATATATAATTATGAAAATCATCAAAATAATTGAGATAATTTTCTTACTCACATCAGTATCTCCCAATGAGACTGAATTCTAAAGTAAATTAACAGCCTTAGTAACTCTTAATAATCTTGAAACAGATAAAAATAATAGTCCAAGCTTTGGAGTTTAGTATTAAAAAATCAAAGGCGGAATGATAATCAATAGATCAGAGAGTGAACCTTGTGTCAGAACAAATTAAATCCTGTTTTGAGCTATGAATAGCTTGAGCAGATATTCCATTGTATATATCAAGCAAACTACTATATCTGCATACTAATAGCCCAAAGGCATTCTAATGTTATAAAATTCACCGCACGGCATTACGCAAATAGCACCTTCATTATTTCAACAGCAAGGATCAAATTGACTAGTATCCCAATAAGTCAATATAACAAAAGCAATAGATGAACAAAAGCTCATTATACCCATAAAAATGTTTGATTTTCTTCGGATAGTACCGAACCATTTGCCTGTGCTCATTGCATATATGCATTTCTCTAATTAGTGTTTGAATGAACTTTCCTTCTAGTTTTCTGATTCTTGCTAATCTATAATCTGATTTTAGTAAAATATTTAATAACTTACCAAAAGATTATTTGCCGAATATTTCCTCGTAATTTGTGTTCTATTCTACTGGTATCATCTCAGTTATCTATCCCGAGGAAGGAAAAACTTTGTTATCTGACATTTAATTGAAATTTATTATTATTGTTTGTAAAATTCAAATTACTGAATTGATTTAAACTTCTGGGGTTTTGGGGTTTTGGGGTTTTGGGG